TTTTGACAAACCATTTTGTAATAAAGAGGTCGTATATAGGCAATAACTGAGGCCCGACTTTCCATACTATATGGGACCCATACTATCACTGTACCACCTACGCCCTTGTAGCATCCGTTTCTCTCATGGATGAAACGCGGGTTGGAATTCCGTCTAAGGTCACAAGTTCTACATTCCAATCAGCATTTTTGAATTCTATTTACTCTCATAACTTTGCCATAAAAGCGGTATAATAAGGAAGTTTTGTGAGTTATGTAACCAAATATGTAAACATGAATGTATACATATATAATATATATAAATATAATAGCTGTCAGCTTGATTGGGTTTGATACCTATATGTGCTTATCGAACGACCATTCACTTCATTGCCTGCTGTGAAAGAAAGCGGATTGCTGAGAGAAATCACTGAATCAGGAGATTACATATACACAGACATTACTGAATGTGGATAGTTCCAAAACAGAACTTAGAACGGGTACTACGGTCCGCCTTTAAGTCTCTAATGGAGGTTATTAGTTGAGTCACTGTTTCCGACGTAGGCGCCCAGTTGTTTGACAGTCACTCCAGTTCTCTTCTACGCATAAGAACATGGCTTGGTAGTTCGTTCGCATCAATAAATATTCTGTACGATGGGCATTACACTCGAAGATCATTACTATAGGTAAATCGTTATAGTGAGTAGTAAACCAGTTCTCGTTGTAATAGTGCAAAAGATGTAATTGGAAAATTAGTGAGTAATGCAAGACAATGAAGACGAATCAACTGACTAAAGAAGTTTTGGTAATTTCCGCCTCTTGTGAGTATTCACCATCTATTTATAGCCTTGAGCATGCCATATGAGTTTGACAATTGGTTTGTCAACATACACAAAGTATTCAAAATTATTCTACTATCCTCCATACTAGAAAACTATATGAATGATTTTATTGTTGAAATGGGTTTATCCGAAAAACTGGGACCTAGAATACCCACGAAAATGGCATCGCTTCATTTCAAAGCATATCTTATTAATGCTCATAGACTGTAAAATAAATCCGCTTCCATATGGTACTACCTTACACTTCTCCTTTCTTCCATCATAATCTTCTGTTAATTTACTGCTTTTTCTTCACTTTCTTCGTTACTCAACTTGCTGTGATGCGACATCTATCGGCGGTTGGCGTCCAGATGCACTTGGTTTTCTGTGTGAATGCGATTAGATTTATCATTTGATCGCCTCAAGTGACCCAGCTCATAAGAGGGTATAAATTTGAAAGTGGAAGACGCCATCTATGACTGAACTCTCCTAAAATGAACAGAAGAAAAGCCAAAAGTGTTGATGATATTGTAGAATGTTTTGTGTTTTTATTTGAAAAAGAGTAAGAGTGAAGTAACACATAAGGGCATAAGAGCTCAGACTTCGAAATGCTCCATAGCCACAGGATCATCTTTGACAGTCAACCTTTAAAAAGAGCGGGAAATTTATGCTTGGTTGCTTAAAGCTAATGCATTTCTATGAATTATTTATGACAACGTTTCAAATCTGTTAGTGAAAGAGACAAGAAGATTCACTGGTGATCGTTGACTGAGCGCTTAATTCATAGAAAGCATCATTGATACATCGAGAAAGAAGAGGAAAGTTCTGATTCTGCTTCTTGCATCTTTTAGTTGAATACAATGCTCAAGAGAGGGAAACTGTAAGCTCACCAGACCAGGAGTGGCAAAATAATGGTTCACTGAGAAGATAAATGCTACATTATCGCCAATTCTGTACAGTTTGGAGCGAATTTTTTAAATGACTCATGAGGACATCATATCAAAACTAAAACCAAGCAAGACAGTGGCACTATATTCTCCCTATGTAAGGAGAAGTAACAAATATTCTATGAATTCTTGCACCTCCAAGGTTCATACAGCTGCTTTCTTATTTGATCGCTCAGATTTATTTCGCTTGCAGTCAAATCAAAGAATCATTAAGACAGAAGGCAGGGTATATCACCTGACAATTCAGAGTACAGTATCCTTCAGTCGAAAGCAAATTTTAAGTAATATTACATTATTATATTAAAGTGACTATAATCCGAAAGGCAGTTAAGTTTCTACATGAAATCAACGCACTTTTGTCCTGATTGTAATGAGAAAATCAATCTCTGCTACTCAATCCATATGGCAAAAATAGTCTTCACATTCTCAATTTCCGTAGAGAGCAAAAATCAATGGAAATACTTGATTGTATGAATTTTTGGAGTCTTGTTTCATGTTCAATCGTGAGAAGTAAATATCAATGTTTTGAGTATAGGGAATTTTTTTTACATATTGCCTACTCATTTGTTTTAGCAGGATGTGAAGCGAATCACAACTATAAGGATGTTGACATGTGAGGAGAACTTACCTGACGTTGGATACGATCCCACAACCACATTTGTCTCTACATACATTGAGTAAAGTTGATTTGAAAAACGCGTGTTGGAAAACCGAAGCAATGCACTGCATCCCACTGCCCTTTTGCTTTTTCCAATGCACATTTAGGTATTTTACTCATTTCTGTGGTGCGAATTGCCATCCTATAGCATTGACCGCATGGCGCCATGAGAAAATCCCAGTGCAATTTTTCTTGAAGGTGTATAACTCCTTCAAGAATTCGATTCCTTCCCACAAAAATTACTGCTGTCGCGCGGCGAAAAGCCGTTTGGGTTCCTAAGTATAACCAACCATCATGAATGTTTCAAAGTGATCTCCACAGAGGTGCTGGAAAGACGAGAAGTGGAAAGCGTGGTTAGTTGACTGTACATGAGACATGGACTAATGTGAATTTGTCTCTGTCTGGAATGACTAATCTTACCGTAGGGTCCGATATCGAGCTAACTTGATAGATTACCTAGTCATTATTATCATGCGTAACTCGTACCTCACAGATATCTTTCCTCATGAGCAGAGAGACAAAGAGTTGCAGATCGTGTTAACTCGCTGCAGATCTTTTGTAGGGTCTAGGGCAGCCTATCAAGTCATCACCTGCTGACTGAGTACAGGCGCCGTTCATTTGGAATAACAATAGTTGAGCCCGTTCGGCAACATAAGTGCTGTTGTTAGTAGTTGCTCTTTCAGCTTTTCCTGCAAATTACACCGTACACCCATCCAATGCACGTTTTCTGGAGTATGGGTTGGAGTGCTTGGCATATCGGCATTAGTTATTCATGTGCTGGTATTTGATTTGAGTTGTTTGATGCTGGAGAGGACATGTCACGCTGGGAAAATTGAAAAATAATTTGACAATAAATTCAAGGCTGTAGTTTTTCACATTGGATAAAGGTCATGCGTTCAATGTTCCCGCCCGCTCAATGTCGATGCCTACTATGACTCTAAAGAATGTATTTCACGGGAACCTATCGATCGTGTACATTTTTGATTTGATTCATGATTGGTGTTCCTCAATTCCGTATTGTCATAGCATGCACATATAAGCGTTCCAAATTCTTTGACTGTGAAGAACTGCATATCGAATTGAACGTTGGTATCCAGTAATTATCAAAAACATTTCAATTGAAACATGGTCCCAGTTGATTATCAAGTCACCGACATAAAAATAATGCTCGCGTTTCATTGAATGATTTATTGTCACTACTACTAAATTCACACAGAGGTTAACGAATAATACTTTCTGAATGATCTCTTTACTGCTGAGCTTCCGGTCAGAGCTATAAACGATTGAGTGCAGCTTGAAAGAGACATCGCCTAAGCAAACTTTGTATCTCAATCACAGTCGTTAAAGAAAATCATTAGCAATCTATTATCTTTTCCTTATGACGAGCCTGATTTTTCTCACTACTTCTCAAGTAAAATGTCAATGCGGTGATATTAAAGCTTCATTTTGCAGAAGCTATAAAGCTTGAAAAAATTTGAGTTTTTTGTGTACTATGTTGTGAAGTCTTTCATGTTCTTATTTAGTAAATACGAGGATGTCAATTTGACGATTTATTCGGTGCAGATGAACAGTGCAAAACTTGATCGTGGTGCCTGACGTTTCGGCTTTGTCGTCTTCTTAAAAGCCTGGAAGAGTTAGATTGATATGCAATACACTCAGACGAACACTTTCAAAGCAGAACGCCTTACGGACCTTTTTGTTTAGAAGAAGTTTCTTAATCAGCAAATGCGAGGTTGTTAATTTGTTACAAAAAAGTTACAAAAAGGTACGTGAGCTGTTCTGTTCTGGTTACGAAAGTGCTTGTCTTAGTGTGGTTACATATCAGTCTGACTCTTTCAGGCTCTAAAGAAGGCGACAAAACCGGAACGTCACCCACCATGATCAAGTTTATTGCACTGTTCATCTTTACCGAATAAATCGTCAAATTAACAACTTCACATTTGCTGAATAAGAAAATCAAGGAATTTTTCAATCAATGCCGAGGTTAATTCATAGTCGGTCATAGGAGTATGCTGTAAAGTTTTTACTTGAACTCATAGGCGAATTGACGCATTCCTACAAAGTCAGAAATTTTTCATTCCATGCCACAGTTCTTTAGAATAATTTTGGTATTGCTTATGAGAGCTACTTCTCCCACTCTGTTTCCTATTATGGCCTTTCGATCATTGAGAAAAATAATACTGAAGTTAATATATTTATCAGTGTTATTCACCCTATGCCATTATCATAGCAAAAAGTTATTTTTATAAATTCTATTTCCACCCCAACAACCCGTCCTACGGAATCATGCAGGAATGTGCTCGATGGTCTGCGAGTAGCTTAAACTGAGATTGTCATACCGTGCAAATGGAATTCTTCGGATGTTGGAAAAGGTATAAGTGAAACGGTACAATGATTTCGTCATAATCCACTCAACACAGTATCGCTTTATCTCACCTTCACCCAAGTTTTTTCTTCTTTTTATGGAACCCAGTATTTCTAACATTCAATTGGTCTACCCTCGTCTATCAAACAAGATTCATTTTATGTGATCGTCTGTACAGGTGGTATGATGTTACAATATATCCGATGATGTGGAGTGGTGTTTAAAAACTTTTGCGTCGGCTGGGATTCGAACCCACATTTCACCCTTTCCGGGAGCGTGTGCTGAACCGTTGCGCTATCGAGGCCCGTTTTTGGCACCACTCTTTCAACTCTACAACGCGTCACCTAATTACCCGACTTTGATGAGACATTGCGCACTGTTATCCATCCACATTTCTTTCGCTTTACTCTCACATCACGCTTGAGCGCTACACCTTTGTTAGAAGAATCTTTTTATTTATTTCCCTAACTGTTCCCATTGAATGGGAGGTAAGATTAGGGCAGAAATGATTTTATCTGTGCCTATAAATGAACATATTGTCGTCTAGTATATTAAACGTAAATGTCAAGACTATAAATCTGTTTCAAATACACAAATTCGTATTTCTGTGGTTTTATTCTGAATTGTAGAATTTTGCCGCCTTTCATAATGAATGATGCAGAAAGCTGAAGGTTTTTTTGGATCGGTTACTACGAAATGATGTTTTTTTTTGTCCATTACTTATTGGCAGTAAAAATTTAACTGCTTAATAGAAGGATTTTGATGCAATATAAGCAGAGATTTGTTAGTTTCATTTAGATAGAATTGTCTGTTTGTTACTTCCGCACTACTAAAGCCTAAATTGAAGTTTTCCCAGAGAAATTTCGCTCTTAATAGTTTAGACTAAAAACTGTGAAAAACACAGCAGACCGTTCACAAAAATGGCATCTTGAACAAAACCCTCTGTGTCGTAACTATTATGTACAGAAACAATAGCCAAATGGGAGCAACAGTCTGCTCGTCAACGGTTTGCTGTCTTGTCCCCATCAACTCTCCAAAATATGAAGCTTGAAATATATCCCCAATGCTGCTACTGACGTGCTCGAGAGAGATCGATTTAGTGGAATGGCAATACTTCTATGCTTGGAAAAAGTGTCAGATAAAAACAGTTTCGAATGACATATAGCAATGCAGAATAAAAAAATAGTGCATCGACCTAAGAGCAAACAAGTCTCTGTAGGTCATTGCGAACAAAGCATTTCGATATTATCTGGTAGAAGAAGACGTATTCGCTCCCATCACTTTGCGTGAAACTAGTACCGCTAACAAAGTTACTTGGGTTACATTTTCATAGATCGACTTACTATTACCTGTGCCATTAATTATGAAGTTATTCTGCTCTTACGAAGTATATTTGATCAAACAGAGCAATGTAATTTTTTTTTATGTGTGTAATGAACAGGTGGTCTCGATCTGCTGCAAGTGAGCAACAGAAAATTACTTTGAAAGTGCAAATTAGTCGGAGCGTTTTTATCGAGGATAAAAAAGTGCTGAAAGCCACGTGTCAGTTTTTCAAATCCTTGAAGGTTTTGGTGCTTTTCAGTTGACCTCGTACACACTGATTGCTTCCACCTTAAGAGTCGGCTACACAACCGTCAACAAGGTTACATGGGGTTTCCAACATACCTTTTTGACTCCGCTGAGAAATTTCATGCACTTCGGGCAAAAGCAGGGACAGGTGCGATTGAAAAGAGGCTCACAGAATCCCATGAAACAAGCTGAAGTTTTGTCTACCGGTTTATTATTCTCTTAAAGTTGCGATACAACTACCACTTTACCGTAATCACATCTCCATAACTTTGCTGACTGGGTATTATCTATTCCTTTCAAATAGACACTAGTTGCTCCTCATAGATTTTATTGCTCTCATAAAGCATGAAATGAGCAGTTAGTAATTTACTGTGTTCAGCCTTCTTGAGGTAGTTGCGCTTGCAAAGAGGTCTAGAAAGGAGCGAAGAGAGTGCAGAAAGGAATAGCTGTTACCAAAAGTCAGAGTTCTTTGGTAACTTACAGTTCCAAAAGAGCCATTACGGGTGAGTGTTTTCAAATGCTTCTTCTCTAAATGTTACTCACATCTGACTCCACTCAAATTCGGTAAAGATTAAGTGAAATACACATCGGTCCTCGAATTAACATGTAATATTGGTAAATTTCTTCAATATTCTACGTGTGCCACTTGGAATAGCCGAAATAGTTCAAAAATTTGATTTTTTCAAATGTTATACGAATACAGTTATCTTTTATGAACTCACAGTGCCGTTATGTACCGTCGTTTTCGTTACATTGTCGCGTTCGGCGATCAGCCTTGACCCTAAAACCATTCTACGTAGAAGAGTTTCTATTACAAGTGAATCTCTATGATTCTTTTGTTCACCTCTTATCCTAGTAGCTCATTCCGTAAAGCACTGTACATTCCTGTTCTACTTTTATAGAGCCAAAGCGGGTCTTTGTTAACATATATTCGATGTACAACCAATGGTCTTTCAAAATATTGAGTACCATAGGTGTCATTATTCACCTCATACTGATTGATATACCTAAGGACGTAATAAAATGGATTACTTTGAGTGAAAAGGTATGAACTTCTTTTCCTTACATTGTGGCTACAATTGTATTTTTCTTTCTGACAATGCTTTCTGAGATTATTGTTTATTTTTGAAGGATGTCAAAGGGCAACTTGTTGTTATAACTGGTGGAGCTTCCGGTCTGGGAAAACGTATTGCTCAAATACTTTCGCTTGAGAAAGGTGCACGACTGGTCTTACTCGACGTCAATATTGTCAGTTATTAAAGCAAACTTTCTTTTACCATAACAGTTCTTGAAAATTCATGTTCAGCAAGGGGCTGATGAGACAGTAACTTCAATAATTAGAAAAGGCGGCAAAGCATCTGCGTATTACTGTGACGTCAGATTTGAGGAGGAATTAAAAACCACGGCGGAAAAAATATGGAATGAACATGGTTTGTTTAGGTTGTTCAAAAAATTTCGTTTATCAGGTGATTTGGAGTACAAAACGTATTTTGAAGCATTTGACTCTATAAATAGTTCTGTACTTATGGTCCCGTCAATCTTTCATTTGTAAAACTCAGCTCTAGGAAATGTTGACATTCTTGTCTGCAACGCCGCTGTTCTATCATACGCACTTTTCAAGGAGTTATCAGTTGAACAACTGCGACAGTCGCTTGAAGTCAATGTTCTTGGCACCATAAATGTGAGTTTCTACGCGTGTAATCTAATGTTTCAGGTCTGACTCCACACAATATGCAGTAAGTATAGTCGTCCGAGTAAAAAAGGCATAGCAGTAACAGGTTAATTGTGCCATGAACTCAGTCGTAGTTCAAGAAAATGACATTGATATTGAGAAAAACCTGTCGAGGACTGTTTACAATTTCGCCATAATTGGTTGCTCAGATTACTCAGTTTTTTCTGGCCCATTTGTTGCTAGATCTATAGTGGCCAAGCTATCGAACAAATATACAAAAGTGTGACTGAAGTGAGCTCTACTCACTGCAAAGAAAATAAGCGAAAACCTATTCAGGCCGGCCAATTTACCATGGTCTTTTAATTGGCTAACTAACACAACAACGGAGGGTCTGTATCCAAACATTTTTTCAAGAATATACGAATCATACATGATTCATATGTGCAGACGTACAGCAAGTTTATATGTCTTGACTGAAAAATTAAAATGGCTAGACTATCTTTTGGCTGAGCATAGTGAAGTAACCCCGATTTTATGCGCATGTTTTACATAAACAAGATTTTTTCGGGATCATTGCATATGAACATCTATGAATAACTAAAATGGTCACATTAGTACTTTAGACGATTCGTGCATTTCTCAAACCGATGGAAGAAAAGAATTCTGGACAGATTGTCGCGGTGTCATCGATTGCAGGCTTTTCAGGAGAAACATTTGGACTCGCTTACTGGTATGACTTAGTGACATGTCCATGTACTAACTTCAGATTTCGAATCATTCGTTCCTTGTACCACCGTTTGGTGGCTTGAAACGCTTTTTATTTGTAGTGAATTTTTCTTTACAAATTGCTGTTAAGCAATCAGAGGTGGTTTAAAAAGAAAAATTTATTTGAAACGACTTGATGAGGCGTTTATATTACTTCATTGAATCTTCCATCTTTACAATTTTGCGCAGCAACCAATTTTTATCCGCTCGTACTGCAATTTGAAATCATTTCGTGCCGACCGACGTATCCCTTCAATAGCACGTATAAGTCATATATTCAAATTCATTAGCAAGGTCTCTTTGTTACCGCGTAAATACTAAAAACAATGATTCTTTCGTGAGAGCATGTGGAAGCAGCGAACATGAAAACATCTTAGCTGCTTTTCTAGCATTCGATCTCTTGTTATTTTTCTACTCTCATCAAAAGCAACTGCATTCTTGACCTAATGATCAAACATGAGGGAAAAAAATCTCGCTACTTTCCGTTATACAATCTGTTTTGAGCTCTTGAAAAGAACTCATTTTTTTGTTGGTTCTGAAGTTTAACTAGATTTTCGATAACTTGAATCAAAAGAAGTTGAACGCAATGATTTATTTCCAAAATGGTTTTATTTTTGCACTGTAGCTACAAAAGTAAAATTATGCTGTTCATTCAAATATTTGACGTTGAACAAGATTTCTCCTCTAGACTTTCACTAACAGTTCGATAGCTTAAATCACATCAATTCCAATGACGTATTTAGTTTTTGAAAATAACTTTTTATTGTGCTGTAATAATCAAAAGTATATTGGGTTTCGCAAGTTTGGCATCGGAAAAAGGGCGGTGGCTTGGCGGCAATGTTGCGAAATCCTACCCACATATTATTAAAGCGTGGTGTTTTGGTGCCAATGTTGCACTGCACATGACTTAATCTTTTTTCGGTGTTACAGAGCACTTCATATCTTTTTCGAAAATCAACAACATCATTGGTGTCGAGATTCAACCTATCAAGTGGTTATTAAAATCTAGAAGAAGAGCTTTGCTCAGCGGGAAATGTTCACATGAGAAACATAGTTTTATTTCTGCTGTGATAGCGCAATGATAAAGCCATTTTGAAAATAAAACACACCATTCTAATTCCTTTGATTTAACCTACGGAATAATGACGAAAGCTCAAAAAATCAGAAAACGCGTTTTTCTAGAGGAATCGGAGTAACAGAATTTGTATACGCTGTCAAGTGCAGAGGGCAGCTTTTCTGCTCCAAGGCATGACTCACAGTTTTGAATTGAAGAAAGCAGCCGATAAAATAGCGGCATA